ATTTATTGGACAGAATGTAGTTAACCATTACACCTTGCATTGAGGGTTATTTACAGACAAAGAGCTATTTGCACTCATGGATTATGTACACTACATCACTTCCCTCTTTTTTTTTAAAAGGAATGTAAGAACATAAATAAAAGATATCACAGAACATAGTAATAAATCAGTCAGAATGTATAAATACAATTAAGAATAAAGTCTCTCAAATGAGATGGTAGCCGTCGGTTTCTGACAGGCCGGTGAGGAGTTGTTGAGGCAGCAGGAATTCCCGCAGCTTCAGGCTGGGGATTTGTTGCATGACTAGGAGATGCCGAAGGAACTTCAGAGCTTGGAACATCTTGGTTTTCTTGTACTGGTGACGTGGGGTTTACGACTGAAGGACCAGCTGCTCCTATTTCTGGGAACAAAGAACTGCGATCAACATAAGGCTTCACGAGCGAACTGTTCCTTTGAAATACCTTTCCCTCCTCGGATTGGATCCAGGTTTTTGATCCAGCCTTTTGGAGCAGGGTAAAAGGAGATGATTCAAATCTAGTACTAAGTTTGTCCATCTTCTTTTGTTGGAGAAGGACTGAATCCCCAGGAACCAGAGAAGATGGGGTAGCATGTCTTGTCCTGTCTGCATACTCCTTGTTCTTGGCCTTGGCAAGCTCATCTCGATCCCTGACTTCCTCATCCTGAAGTGGAGACTTTGAGAAGTTCAAGGAGGGAATCTTGTCCTTGATTTTCCTGCCAGTCATGAGTTCAAGCGGAGCTACCCTGGTGACAGAATGAGGAGTGGTACGGTAAGCAAACAGAAATGATTGAAGTTCAGGTTTCCACTTTTTCCCTTCCGAGTGAGCAATCTTCAGTCGTTTGAGGATGGTTCGATTCTGTCGCTCGACTTCACCATTTGCTTGAGGCCAGAGTGGAGTGACCGCCCTATGTGCCACGCCAACATTCTGCAGGTACTCCTGGAATTCATGAGCAATAAAGCAGGGGCCATTATCAGTGACTAGGACAAAGGGATAGCCCCACCTAGAAAACACATACTCTAGACATTCGATTGTTTTTTCAGCAGTTATCTTCTTGGTACTTAAAACTTCAATGTATCTACTATAATAGCAAACAATAACCAGGAGATAATCCCCAGTTGGCAGAGGTCCCAAGTAGTCACAACTCACCACCTCCCAGCAGGTTTTCGGAAGAGGAGATGGTTGCAAAGGTTCTGAGTTGGTTCCTTCCTGCACAAGCTGACATGGATGGCAGCTGCGAACCCAGTTTTCTGCATCTTTGTGGATGCCATCCCACCAAACCTTCGAGCGAAGTCTCTGTTTGGTTGCCACTATCCCCATATGACCTTCATGCGCAAGGGTTAGAACCCGAGTTTGCAGAGACTTAGGGATGATCAAGCTTGAATTTTTCACCAGCACCCCATCGACTTCCCCAAGTTCAGACTTGATCAACTCATACCTCTTCAAGGATGGGGGCCAGTTGTCTGAGTACAATGATGTGCAAATGGTAGACAGAACTTCATCAGATTTTGTTGCATTCTGTAACTCTTCCAGTGAAATACATTTGGGGGTCATATTAGCAACCAATGTTTGAACAATCCACTCTTCAGACACATCATCCTTTTCATCAGGGTTAGTGGAGAGGCGAGACAAGCAATCCGCAATATTGGTCTTTCCAGGCTTATATACAACAGAGTACTTGAAAGGCATCAGCCGCAACACCCACCTCTCGACCCGAGCACATGGCTTACTTGTGGGTTTAAAGATGAATTCCAAAGCCTTGTGGTCAGTCACCAATTTGAATGAACAGCCTAAGAGGTACATGGCCAACTTCTCACATCCCCAAACCAACGCTAATGCCTCCTTCTCGGTCTGAGAATACTTCCGTTCCAATGGAGTCAGAGATCTTGAAGCAAAAGTAATGATTCGATTAGTGGACTGACCTTTAGATTGACTGTGTTGGTAAAGGACAGCGCCTAGGCCAACGGGAGAGGCGTCGACAACCAAGGTTGTGCCAGCAGAAGGATCAAAGTATGCCAGGAGAGATTTTGATGATAGAGCATCCTTCAGGGCAGCAAAGCTTTTACGTTGCTCCTCAGTCCAGCTAAAGTTCACGCCTTTTCTGGTGAGCCTGCGGAGAGGTTCTGCAACAGTAGCAAAATTAGGTATGAAGACAGAGCAAAAATTCGCCAAACCCAAGAAACTGTGAACTTCCTCAGAGGAAGTTGGCTCTCGGAATGACTTGATTGCTTGTAAGCTGTGCTCACTAGGTTGATAACCCTTTGAAGAAACTTTTCTTCCCATAAATTCAATCTCAGGAACTGAAAACTGGCATTTTTTCAAATTCAAGGTGTAGTTAGCTTGTTGAAGGGTCTTCAGAACACGGTGCAATGCCTTGTCATGAGTAGCTTGATCCTTTCCGTAAACAACACCATCGTCCCACATGAGGACAAAATTCTTGAGGTTGTGAGTAATACTTCTGACTGTGGAGTAGGCCAGTTCAGGAGAGCAACTTAGTCCAAAGAACAGGACCTTATATCGAAAGAGACCAAATGGAGTACTGAAGGTACCCACATCCCTAGATTCTGGAGCAATAGCATGTTGGTGGAAGAATAGGTTAAAGTCTATTTTAGAAAACACCACAGAGCCGTTGAATTGAGCTAAACAATCCTCTACCAATGGTATAGGATACATAACCTCCTCAACGAATTGGTTCACTTGTCTCATATCCACAACCAGCCGAAATGCATTGGGATCCTTTTTTGGGACCAGATGAGACGGAGAGACAAATTTAGACACATGGTCAGGTGGTACTCTCTCGATGACATCATGGACTAACAGATCCGACAAGATTTTTTCCATTGGTGGCAGGTAGTGGAAAGCGATTCTTCTCTGAGGCTGGATTATTCTTGGAGTGTTATTCTTCATTGGAATCGTGAGACTAATTCCATTGACTCTGCCGACGCCCTTAAACAAATCAGGATAACCATTAGCTATAGCTGATGAGGACACAGAAACAGAGCAGACTTGAGTAGATGCTTGTAAGCCGAGACGCAAAACTCCCAATAAAAGAGCAGACTCCTTCCCTAGGAGAGCTTCATAAGTAGAGGGAACATCCGCTACATAGAATTTTACTCCACCCAAGCTTTTCCCATTCTCCAGGGTAACCTCACAGGTAAAATTGCCAAGTATTTTGACCCGAGTCCCATCTTGGACCCCATACGGGCAGAGAATTCTTAATTCTTCCTTAAAAACTCCAGGAAATTTCTTCCTAATTTTGTCCCACATGTGCTTTGGGAGGATATTTTTTTTTGAGCCAGAGTCTATCATTACTTTTATTTTCGCAAAGCCAAGGTGTACTATGATGTACTCACTTTCATCCTTGGGGTCAGTAGAATCCACTTGACAGACAGAAGTTTCTTTGAGGTGGAAGGCACGAATGACGTCTTCATCGTCTGATGATTCTGTTGTCATGTTAACTTGTCTGGCCTTGAATTCTGCCACCCTCTCCTTCCTAGTCTTGCACATTTTCCGGTAATGGCCTTTAATGCCACACCTTTCACAGACACTATTAAGTCCCGGGCAAGACGTATCAAAGCCCTTGTGATCAGATGATCCACACCTAAAACAAACATCAGTGGTTTTAGTGCTAGCCTTCTTTTCTTTGTCCATACCTTTTTGACCACCTTTCTTGAATTTAAGACGATTGACACCATCTGTGGCAGCAGAAACTTTGGCTTGTTGAAGTAACTTTTCATAGGTTATGGACATAGACATAGCAGTTTGCAGAGTGAACGGCTGGGCAACAGTTGAAGCCATAATAGTTTTGTTAATTTCCATCTTGAGCTCCGGCCAGGGGCATCGTGCACATAGCCGATCTCGCAACATGTCTTCTGCTGTATCTTCGAAATCACAATAGGCAGCCTGGCCCCTGAGCCTCTGAACGAACGAGTCAACCGAATCGGAGGACTCGAAGCGCATGTCAAAGAAAATTTCACGTTCATAGATCACATTTTTCTGGGGCTCAAAGTGTCGAGTCAGTAAGGTCACAGCATCTTCAAACAAATTGGTGATATCACGATTATACTTAGTCAGAGCTCTATCGTAAACCTCCTGTTGGGCAGCAGTTGGGTTCTCACCGAGTGGGGCGGGTTTGACGGGATCTTCTTCAGCATTGGTGAAATGGATCTCTTCGACCTCCCTTCCAGCTTTGTGGAGAAGCATGGCACGTTGCCTTCGAGGTTCAGTTATGCCCTGCGCTTCTAGAAAATTGCGCGCCCGCCGCACCCAAACACGCCATCGCGGCCCAACACTGGATTGATTTACATACGGGTGAAACGGCTCCAAGCCATCGTTCTTGAAATCGCCCATCGTGGGTAATCGTCCTCGTCGCCAATGTAGTTTTGGGTTGTCAGTAGGATGGAGAGTAATAGTCACCAGCTGTGCCTTAGTCTGACTGATTTATTGGACAGAATGTAGTTAACCATTACA